CACATTCCTAGATTTTATAATTTATAACACCAGCTGAGATGAACTGGGCTGCTTGCTCATTAGTAGTTATAACTCTTCTTTAACTGTGAATTCATTGAATGATTGGGTCCAGACACCCTACCTCCCATAGCATGAGTCTACTGAGGTACTGTTTGGTCATTTCAAAGTCACTAAGGGGAAAGAATATGAGAATTGTCACCAACTAATTCACTGGACTTGGGATAGTTCCATGTGTTTGGGAATGTGCAGGGACTTTGTGTGTCTATTAGGTCTGGCAGGGAGTTTATCAACAAATGTTTCTTGTGAAGTGATCAAACAAATAAGAATTAAATAAGCCTGGTCACCCACTCTTAATGATGAGGTGGAAATCACTTGGAAGGATTTAGGGGTGAGTCCAGCCTGGGTAGAAATCCAGCTGCTTCTTCCTCTCCTTGACAAGGTACTTAATCTTGCTGAGCTTGAGCTTCTTCTACTTTCAGGACTATGGTAAAGACTAAATAAAGATGAACTTTGTGAAATGGCTAGTGTGTCTTCAGCAGATGTATGTTTAGACATCAAATAAATGAAYATCTCATGTTTATCATGTTTCCTGAAGAAAGCAAGGTCTTTTATCCTTAAAATCCAATATCTAAACAACGAGAACATTTAATAATGGCTGTGAAGTTTTACATATGGTAGTTAAAAACACTTGTGAGATGTACACTGAATATTCTAGAATGATAGCAACTGACAAGAGCCGCATATATTATTTACAGACCACTTTTGTACCTTGTACTTTGCTAAGGGGGGGCCTCATGGATTTTTTTTTTCTTTTAATCTTTACAATTACCCTATAAGCGAAGTGAAATTGTGTCTCTGCTTTACGGACAATGAAATTGAGACTTCTATGCATAATCATTTGCTTCATAAGTGGCAAATCAAAACTCAAATAGAAGTCTGCCTGACAGCAGGTTCTGAGGTTCCAAGCTTTACTTTGTTTGACACAAAATCCTTGACTCTATGATATAATTCATACAACTGTTCAAAGATATAAATATTCTGAATATAATGAAACCACACACACAACCTTTTAATTTTTATTTATATTTCTTAGTTTAAGAATTACACACTAGCCAACATTATTATATATTTACATGCTGAAACTGGCTGCAATAAGTTTAAATTCAAGAAAATAATTCTTATGTGCTATTCATTTATAATCCTCATTTTTTTTTACTATCTCATTTATCCCAGAGATTTTAGTATAGTTCTCTTTTTAGAAAGACATGAAAACAGATGCGGTGATATCCACTTGGTGTTTGCATTTTGTAGACATTGGAAATGTGCATTATGTGCATGTGAAGAAAGGCTATAAGGTCATCAGTAAGGCTGATAATCACTACATTGTGAAGAAACTAGAATATCACTTTTTATAAAAGGACAGTTCAGAACTATGCAGGGACAGTATTTATAACAGAACTATTTAAACACCCATGCAAAGGAAAATTAAAAATGTATGGAATTAATTATAGGCAACTTTGTTTGAGTGAATTAGAYTCAAAATTATCATGGCTGAATTCTCATTATTGAACCAAAAAATAAAGTAAGCTGAGGGAACTGTCAACTTGTTTCAACTGGTACAAGGACACAGACATGGAATCAGATTAGAGGTCAATGTGATAGGGGAGTGACATTTGGTTAGGAAGTCAAAGAACATAAATTTTGTTTTTCTTCATTTTGGATCATATTTATCTTTATCACAAAAGCACTTCTTGAAGCAAATTAAAATTTGATGTCAGAATTGTTAACATCTACAGCAATGTTCTACTACTTATCATTTTCTAAAAACTAAGCTATTTAAGAGCGCTGCCACCCACCCCCGCTTTTAAAAATCGTTTCTTTAGGGAAGTATCTTTATTAGTATCCTGCTGACTCCTTACTAGTTTCTACAATCTTTCTAGTGCATTTGGAAAATGTTTTATAAACCTTTGGTGTGAAGCAGTGTCTCCCACCCCCCCATTTCCCCTGTTTTTTTTTTTTTTTTCCTTTTAAAAAATAATTCTGGAGTCTTTGGTTGAAAGGAACAATACTATCTATGGACAAAAAAGCTACTGTTTAAAAGAAGAGGAAAAAAAAAACCTTCTAGTGTGCATTGTGTAGCAATTGTCTGGAGCTGTTATGAATAAGCATTTTTATTTTCTGTAATGCCATCAATACAAACTTTCACTTTTTGAAAATTGACATTTAATTTGCAAACTTTGGTTTCTAGTAATCTGACATATTAAAAAAAAACTCTATTAAGATATCGATAATCATTTCTCCTTTTTCCATTTTCCATTTATAAGGCTATCTCTTGGTTGTCAAATTGACTACAGAAAACACTACCGGGTTTTCTCATAGCACAGGGAGGGTGAGAGGAAGTGAACCAGASGGGAGTGGAAGATTATGAACGTTTGAGTCTGTGTGTGTGTGTGTGTGGTGTTTGTGTGCGTGCATGTGCACGCATATGAGATAGCAAACTGAAACCCTTCTGTCTGGGATTCCCAAACCATTTATGCAAAAGGGTGTTTAAATTACTCTGCTGGGGCACTCCAGTAACCGCACATAGTAAATACAAACAAAAAAATTAAAAAAAAAMCACAATTATTTGTATCTACTGATTATTCATTTACAGCATGTTTGATTATTTACATAATATTATAACACATCAACTTAAGCCATAAACAGAATTAGCACGTTGCCTTACCATAAAATACAAATTAGAAGTTAAAAATATTTAAGAAATCTGTTTTAATATTTACACACTCTCAGTGAAAGTCATGGTTGCTCACATAACATGTACTTTGTACACTTAGCAAAATGGCATGATTGCTACAGTTGTATTTTTCCCTAACCAACATGGTGGGTTTAGTTTCATTTTTTTTTTTTTTTTGCTCCTCCCAGGAGGAATTTTTATCATTTTCCATTTTCTTAAGACATTTTTGCTTTTAAATCACTGATGGACAACATTATTTTTATCCTTAAAAAAGAGCAATTAGACAGGCAATGTGAGAACTAGTTAACTTGGATATTCCGAGGTACAGTACTATTGTAGTGTCGAACTCTGCAAAGGTTCATAAGAACTGTGGGCATTGATGCGCTGATACGAGAAATGCTCAGTACCCTGTATTACTTATTTCAATATGTTGATTGTTGGTTGCTAAATTAAAAATACATATACACTGGTTTGGTGAAGGAAACAAAACATATTAGCTTATTCCTTTTGTTTTCCAACATATGGATGCATATATATGTATGTATGTTTACATGGATCGATATATACACATATACACATGTAGATATGTTGTAAGACCTGTGTTTGTTGATGTTGTCTTGCTGTTTCTGTTTTTGAATATGAAGTTAATCATAAAACAGGAACACAGTTACCTATAGAAAATGGAAATTGTCTTAGTTGCCAATTTAATGCAGGTCTTGTTCAAAATAAATGTGATTCATTTCTCCATTATGCATTCCACTGCACTTCCTTTATGTGTTGTGCTTTTTTAAGCTGAYGAGATTTTTGTGTATTCCTAATGCTAGAAGGTAAAGTCTTTTGGTTTACAAATCATCATCATCATCAGTAGTAGTAGAAGTATTTTACTTAGCACTGCTTTTGAAGAAATGATTAAAGTCTAGATGGCACTGCTTGAGTCTTTTCCCCTGTTATTAAATTGCAGTAGAAAGAATTGTAACATTCCTTTGCAAACACATGATTATGTTGCATGGGTTTTCAATTCTGAAGTGCATTTCATACCTACTAGCAGTCATGTACAATATATATATACAGGTTGAGATCAAAGATTTCATTTAGACTGTGCATTTTAGAGTCAGATTTCCTATGAATTTCACAAAGATGAGAAAACACCTTAATTGCTGGCTATCTTGCAGTTTTATAATCAAAAGAAAAACTATACATATGTATAAACTGATAGTAATATCATATCAGAATTGCAAAAACACACCTTTGTGGTCCTTTAGTTTAACCACTGGATATCAAGCTGACTGGCTGTCTGGATTTATGAAGCCTAGCACCCTTCCTTGCGTTTGATGACTGCATTCAAATTCACTAAACATATAGCTTAGAATAAATTCTATGTCTACTGTTATTTCTGGACAGGATGAGTCAGTTTTTTTCTATCTATATGTTTACTGAGTGCCAATATATGATTTTCGTTCTAGGACACACATTTCAAGGTTCCATCTTCTCTCCTTTACCTCGTTTCTTTACATCGTTGAGAGCAGAAATGAATTCCTGGTCATATGTATTTGAGGCTCATGCTATGAAGATGTATCCCTCCACATTGATTCAGATTGTTGACTTGCCTAGACATCCAAAATTTTATTGTAATCATGAATGACAATATTAAGAATTTTTATGGCTTTTATGGAAATTGCAAATAAGAGCCCACTTCTAGACTTGGGCTCTGAGTTATGTCTAGAAAAAACTTTCTGAAATGACATTTTAGACTTGTGCCCCTGAGTTATTGATAAGCTCCTTCCTGTTATTTTCTACTCAAACTTTACTCCCTGGCCACAAGGGGCAGGCACTTTTATTAGTGTGACGCCCCCAAAGATGATTGCCTAGGAGAAAGCATGTCCCTGGAGAAACATGAGAAACCTCTACTCTGAGCATACAGGGAAGATCCTTGGTCAAATTCTGCCCAGAGATTATACTCAGAGGTGTTCAAGTATGTAATCAGAAATAAAAGCCAGACTTATCTACACTGGGGAAWTTTTTTTTTTATCCCACCTTGGGGCAAATTCAGAAAGTTGAATGACAAACTATTTTTTTCTTATGTTGTTGTTCTCTACTAGGTAGAATAGGAGAGCAACAAGACTCCATGATATTCCAAACTACTGAATTAGGAGGGGAAGAAAACATACATTTTATCCACAAGAAAATAACTGGCCTTGGCCCATATGCATGATTAGAAATGTTACTCTGAAAAGAGGATGCTTTTGTTTTCTAAGTAGAAACGGCAAAGTCATCTTCTGAGAAAAAGTTCACTCAAATCAAACTTCACAAAAAATTTAACAATTCACTATTTTCTACACAAAAAGCAACATATGAGCCTCACATCAATAGAAATAAAATATTATCAGCCTATTGTCATTTCTGTCCAACATACGAATGCATATGTCCAATTAATACAAAAAGAAACAAATGGCATAATTTAAGGTAGAATAAACCAATATACCACATCAGCCTAATTATCAGTTATATATTTTTCTGCAATATCAACCGAGGCTCATAACTCTCAACAGATTAATGTGGCTCTGTTATTACCTTATTGTCCACTAGTTTTCATATTTTCCTTGATTAAGCAGATTGCAATATACACAATGGAAGCACCTGTTAAGAAAATCAAATCCAGTGAACCCACAAACTTTTTTCATGCACAAACTCTTTTAAAGTATTGTTTGCTTTCAAAATTATAAAGGTAAACTTCATTGCCCTTATGAAAAATAGAGTTCACTCACTCTCCCAAAGGCTTACTGTGCCTGTCTCCTAAGAATATTATCAGAAGTTTGGAAGCAAGAAAATCTGAAGAGGACCATTAATCCTTTAAAGCAATAAACAAATCCTCCTTTTGAAATACCCTATTCAATTCAAAAAATAAACTCATAGGGAAATGTTCTAGAGATACCTGGCACTCTCGAAGGAAGATAACCTATTTGTTAGCCATGTCTGTATTCTATATTCCTGCATGACTCCAGATCTAACCTGAACATCTAAGATACTTCTAGTTCCCCTAACTTTTCTATTTTCTAGCTGTATTCTGATTAGATAAATTACAAAAACCTCTTTAGATATGCTGTCAAAATCTTGTGATGTTGGGAAAAAAATAATTCTCTCTCTACCCTTTGCCACTGGACACAGTATGTACAGACCAGATGCTGTGGGGCAGTGATAGGGATTATGCTTGCTTGTTTTAAATTTGTTACAACACTCATTTCTGGAATTTTTTACTCTGCTCTGTGTTGTTAACTTTTTAGCCACCTAGAAAATAGTTTTTTTGCAAAATATTTTTTGGGTACTCCCATGTATGATAATGTTCAGAAGAGTCTCTATCTCTAAATGCCAAAATGAAAGATATCCTAGTTGATTCCCTATACTCCATCAAACACAGACAATGACTAAATTGCTGACCAAGTCTCTGCCTTGGCCCCAGCCCCCGTGGGCTCCCCACCCTAATCCTGCTCCAACTATATGAGAAGCTACCAGTTCAGTGGTAATTATCTCCCCATGACATCATGATCACCTTAATAACATAGGCACAGACCATCCCAAAGTAACATGTGTGCATGGTACTGCTGATAATGTTTCATGAGCACAGCGCTATTTCAATAGCATGCCAACCTTAAGAATGAACACAGAGAGTGTCTGGATATGACCATATCTTAGGGCGATGACTGACAATGCTATGGAGCCTTTTCAGAATATCTTCTAAATGTTTCCCCTCCTAGTAGCTGCCTACTACGCAGATGAAAACGGAATACTCAAGCTCCATCCTGTCATCATGGGCTCACATCCCTTGCATTTTAACTGGAAAACCACAAGGACCTTAGTGTATTCATTACTTAGAAGAAGMAACCCAAACGGTATGAAATGGACCACAGGATAGGCCAGCAACTAAGGTATTTTAGCATCACTTTTGTCCTGGATTGATGTGTTTTCCAAGTCCTACGTCAGGCTGTACAACTGTTCTGAGGAGGAATCGAGTCCTTGATTCCCATGGGAGGCCATGTTTTAGTTCACATAATAAAGCCAATAGACGATGTTGAAGAAGGAAAAAACCACTGGGAAGAATATGCGGGACCACCTATCTATGGCATTCACGTCAGTCAAGTCGGGGATGGTGATCTTCAGTTGCGAGGCGCGTCTCCGCAGGCGACTTTTCTTTTGCGCCACGTGTCGTTCCAGAGCATTTCGACCAAAACTGTGCCTGGGCAGCCCGGCTTTCCGATACTGGATGTTGGAGGCATCGTAGGCCATCATCGTGCTCCTGGGGTCTCCAAGTCCCATCACAGCCTCCGATGTGGCCATTTCGTTTTTGATTTCAAGTGTGCTCAGTAAGATGTTTTCGTGGGGGTCCATCTGCAAGGGAGAAGAATCAGAAAAGAAAACTCAAACAATAATAAGCCTTGGTTGGTGCTTACAATGCAAGGAAATAYGATAAGATACACAGTGGGAAAGACAACTGGCTTTGCTATTTCACTGTTGAGTCCGAAGTGTGGCTCTGTCCCCATAATCGATTTGAGTTTCAGTTTTCCCATCCGTGCAATGGTATAATAATCCAGCCCTGGAGAACTGTGGCATTTATGTAATTTTAGAATGCAGTATAGAGTGCTGTTAGTATCCCTATCATTATTTCTGTTTAGGGTATGCAGGTAACTAGAAGGTGGCCTGATATGTTTTAAAGAATGTACAGTCTTTATATGAACACATAAAATATTAAACTGTACTTGGTATGAGATAATGTCAGGTAATGAATTACTGGATTATGCTCATAAGAGTTTGTAGATGATTTAATGGCAAAACTAGAAGTAAAATTAGTAATTCGTAAGGACATGCAAGTACTTTTTTTGTGTGATTTCATTTCATTGATACTTTTGAACAACCACAGTAGAGATGTCACCTTAAATTTGCAATGTCAATATAAATAAGTTAAAGGAACCATTTTGAGCAATATAAAACAGGTCACATTTGACTTGCCAGAATATAAGAGAATTCAGAATGAGGAATTTGAAAATGAGAGGCTAACAACTAAACAGAGTTGGAGGTAGAGAGTTTTGAGTCTAGGAAGGAACTGGCTTGAAAGGAAAGAAAGGGACAGGATTAGAAGAGACATCAGGCCCAAGGCTGACTGCTCAATTGCATTCTCTTGATTCAGCTCTCTTTAAATTTTTTTTCCTTGTAGATGGACACAAAACCTTTATTTTATTTATTTATGTGATGCTGAGGATTGAACCCAGTGCCTCATATGTGCTAGACAAGCGCTCTACCACTGAGCTACAATGCCAGACCTGAGTCATCTCTCTTGATGATTTCTTCTTGCAAAGACAAAAGTAAAGGATGAACACTGACATCCTGATTCTCAAACATTGAATTATTATATAATGTTTAGTGCTGTGTTAAGAATGGGGTGCCTTAATTTTAAAGGGGCTCAATTGTTACACATAACAGAAACTAGCCACCTGAAGTTATCATTAATAATAGACTATTACTTATTTTGGTAGAGAATAAGAATACAAAAATTTCCATTAAACTTTTTGGATTTACAAAGTAAAGGAAAAAAATGATAGCCACCAATGACACATGGAAACAAGATGACTCAATTGAAAGATATGATGAATGCTCTGAGCTTCATGAATTATGCAGATGGCAAAAAAGGTTATTAAGATTATATGTTAACAATTAGCTTTCAAATGGTTTACTGTTCCTGCATTATAAATTAAAATCAAATAGCTTTTGAGAAACAGAAGCTACAAAAWTATAGAACATGCTGGTATGCATTAGCTGACCAATTAGTCTGCCCCTTGATCGGATATTCTGTATGTTTATTTATGGTGGCATTTTGCATAGTAAAAAGACTAAATAGATATATTATTAAAATTAATTTTAAATGTTTTTAAGACTTGGAAACTAAACTCAATACATGTTGAAAGAGATCTGTCAAAGAAAGGTCGATTAATGGTTTTAGTGATGGGTTCCTGCTCCCCAGGGAAGCAAAGAGATATTTAAAGGCTGGTGCTATTTTCTAGTTCTTGGCAGCTACAAGAACATACATACTCTTAAAAGGCATTCTTCTCCCAGTTTACAGGTGAGGGCATTCATCAAACTTCACAGAGTCAGACAGATACTAAATGGAACTGGGACTCAAACCTTGGTCATTAAAACTCAAAGGTGAGAAGCCGGAGGGTGCCATCTCCCAAAACTCAAGGAACGCAAAGCTGGTGAAAATGGGAAACCTATGGCTCCTTGATATTTCAATAATGTGCTTATTTTCTGTTCTTCTCTGGGTTATAAACTTTTTTTTTTTAACCACTTAGAAAATAGTTTTTTAGCAAACATTCTTTTGGCCACTATGCATGAGGACACTCGGGGCTCTCCCCCTCTCAAACACCAGCATGACTCTTTTTTTTCACTGAGCAATTATAATAATATGTGACTTGATACCAGAACTGGCTGAGTTAAAAGTCTAAAAAACAGTAACAACCATAATAGAAACTATAGGCAATGGACTACTATGAGGGGAAACTTGTTTCAGGTTTAAAACAAATTAATTGTCCTTAGATAGTCTGTTTAATCTTACTGGGGTCCCATCTTATTACCTACAGAAATCAAAAGCTGAGTTAGATAATTTCTGAAGCCTGATTGACTTATTTTTCCATTTCACCAATTAACAGGTATTGATTGAAAACCCTCGGTGTGCCTGGTAATGTGCCAAATAGTCTAGATGCAGTGTAGGGCAAGTCAGCATGGTGGCTGGGTCCCCATGATAGTAACAGTCTCCAGAAAGAACACCAGCTTTGAGTCAAAAGGTTGTCCTTTAGGGACAACCTTAATTTTTTTTAATAGTTAACTGTTTTCTTCTTTTAATATCTTTATTTCTATTTATTTTCATGTGTGCTGAAGATCAAACCCAGTGCCTGATACATGCTTGGCAAGAACTCTACCACTGAGCCACAACCCCAGCACCCTGATTTTTTTTAATTATTATTATTATAATTATTATTATTTTGAGAGAGAGAGAATTTTTTTAAATATTTATTTTTTTTTTTAGTTTTTCAGCGGACACAACATCTTTGTTTGTATGTGGTGCTGAGGATGGAACCTGGGCCACACGCATGCCAGGCAAGAGCACTACCGCTTGAGCCACATCCCTAGCCCCTGATTTATTATTTTTGACATTGGAAAAATAAATGCCTCTGAATTTGGGTTTCTTCAACTATATTGGTATCTAAGAACTCCAGAGATTTGGGGAGACTAGCTGAATTAAAACATGTGAGAAGAACTTGAGACATTAAAGTACTTTATAAGTTAACTATTATTACATGTTGTACATGAAGTAGGATATATATACAGGTCCCAGTGAGATAAAAAGAAAAAAAAATTGACAATACATAACCAAGCACTCCCCCAAAACCACTGCCAAAAGATAAGTGCCTTGCCTTGCAGAGTTGCTCCGCTGTGCACACTGTAAGCTCTCAAAATTTTGTAGCCGATCTTGTTATAAAAATGCAATTGACATTGATTGAATGAATAAATTTGACCTTCTGGAAACAGGGATGGAGAATGGCCTTTCTGTAGGTAAAGGTAATCATGTCATCCCCACTGGAGATCTGGTCAGGGGGAGGTGGGAGGGTGCGGGTGGCAGGGGAGGTGTATTGAATAGTAACATCAATTAATGAGGTGCTGTTACTCTTTGGGGTCAGTCACATCATCATAATACTTCAACCGTATTATAAGACTCATATAGACTCAATTAACGCATTAATAGTCAAGGAACAAATTAACCTGAACAAGGAAAGTAACTTTTCCTAGAAAGCACCTATCCATGACCATGAAGCTGTGAAGTGGAGAGGGATAAGGTATAACCATCTCCAGGTGTAATTTATCTCTCAACAGGGACAGAACAAAGCTGGCTGTAGTTCATTAGGCTGCACATCATGGTTAAAGCCCAAGACACTGCTCTGATTATCCCATCCTGTCTTTCCTTGAAGGACCAATTTCTCTACTACTTTCACATATTTTCTACAAAGTCTATATTTCACTCCCTCCCTGCCCCCCCCCCCCAAAAAAATAGGTGAATCCCTCCCTGTAAGCCACACTAGAGTGTCCATGTACATCACTCCTGGGCCACCAACACATACTTCCCGGAGGTTTGGCACAGTGACTCAATCAACACCTGGGACTGCACCTGTTGTCTATTAGGTGGGGAATGGAGGATGTAGCTACCAACAATCCCTGAGTTCTGGATTCAGACAATGCAGAGTTTGATTCTGGGGTAACAGCCTTGAGACCCTGGGAAAAATCATTCAACCTCTCTGAGCTCTGTTTTCTTAAATGTAGAATAGGGAAAATACTGATTCCAGTCCACTGGGGTTGTTTGAAGGAAATAAGTAACAGAACATTTGGGCTGAGGATGTGGCTCAAGTGGTAGCATGCTCGCCTGGCATGAGTGAGGCTCAGGTTTGATCCTCAGCACCACATACAAACAACAATGTTGTGTCTGCCAAAAAAAAAAACCCTGAAAAATAAATATTAAAAAAATTCTCTCTCTCTCTCTTAAAAAAAACAAAACAAAAAACAGTACATCAAAAAGTACTTAGCCCTACTTTGCACATAGCAAGAACTGAAAAAACTGTAACTG